ATTGTGTAAAGCGTATTTGTACATCATTTCTCAAAACATTTTCTCTCCATTTAAACCCCCGACATTAGGTCCTCATTTTTCCCCTCCCTCCCCAGACATTCTTAATTGAATGCTTGTCTACATAAAAGTACTGTAACAACGGAAGGAAAAAAATGTTCACCATAAAAATCACCATTTCTTCTTTGAGGGGCCTTTGTCCTTGATATCTGTTCTTACTAAGGCGCAGAGTATAAATCGCTTTGTTTGATGGGGCAGCAGAGAAGATCCCGTCTTTTAAAAAAAATCATTTTATTGGGGGATCATATAACTCTTATCACCAACTATCCATCCAGCCATTGTGTCAAGCACATTTGTCCATTTGTTGCCATCATCATTCTCAAAACATTTGCTTTCTACTTGAGCCCTTGCTGTCAGCTCCTCATTTTCCGCCTCCCTCCCGCCCTGCTCCCCCGTCCCTCAGGAACCCTTGATAATTTATAAATTATTATTTTGTCATATCTTACACTCTCCGATGTCTTGCTTCTCCCACTTCTCCGCTGTCCGTCCACCAGGGAGGACGTTATATGTAGATCCTTTTAAAGACTGTGTTTACAAGAATATGTTCTCCGCATGAGAATAGGAAGGAAACCTGAAATGAAAATGACACAGCAAAGGCCACACATTGAGTAAACTTCTTTAACAAACGATCCAGAAAAATGATGGCTTAAAAAACAGCCAAAATCAAGCCCACAGGCTTAATATGTCTACATGGAAATCAGAAAGGACAACCTGAACATTGAGAATTGGGCAGTGCAAGAATATTCCCATGATTTTTAATTCTTTTAATTTAACACTGAAGTGTTAAATGATTCTCCCTAGACATTTTGTTCCCAAGGATTGATTTGATAAAAAAACATCACTTGATAAAATTTCTCTTTTCTTTCTTATCCAGCTCACTTAGTATTGCTATCTTAATTCCAACAGTCTTCAGCAGCACTGGATTCAAATGCATCGTTTCTTCTCCCATCTTCCTTATTCAGCTTCTTATTATGTTTATGTATTCAACTGAAAGACCCGAAGAAAAATTCAGACCTTGAATTGCAATACTGAAAAATTCAATGGATAAAATATTAAATAGTAAATGAGGAATCAAAAAAGAATGGATGGAATATACAAAGTCACTGTACCCAATAGAACTTGTTGATATTCATTCCTTTCCAGCAGTACTATATGATCGAGGTCCACGGGTACTGAGGGAAGAAGTCCAAGCTACACTGAAGGCACTAGGAAAAACAAGTCTCCCAGAAATTATGGGGTACCAATTAAAATGTTTCCACAAGCTGAGGAAGCCTTGGAAGCATTCACTCATCTATGACATTTGGAAGACAACTACTTGGCCAACTGACTGAAAGAGATCCATATTTATACCCATTCCAAAGAAAGGTGACCTCGCAGAATGTTCAAATTATAGAACAATATCACTGATATCACATGCAAATAAATTTTGCTGAAGATCATTCAAAGACAGTTGGAGCAGTACATGGACAGGGCATGACCAGAGATTCAGACCAGATTTAAAAGGACATGGAATGAGGGAATCAATGCTGATACTAGTTGGATCTTGGCTCAAAGAAGAGAATAGCAGGGGGGAAGAAATTACTTGTGTTTTGGTTACTAGGCTAAGGCTTTCAACTGTGTGCATCATAACAAAGTATGGATAGCACTGAGAAGAAAGGGAAACACAGAAGGCTTGATTGTGTTTATACAAAACCCGTACATGGATCAAGAGACAGTTGTGTGAACAGAACAAGGGAATACTGCATGGTTTGAAATCAAGAATGGTGTGTGCTAGAGTTTATCTTTTCAGCCTATTTATTCCATCTGTAAGCTGAGTACATCATCAAGGAAGCTAAATTATATGAAGATGATAAAGGTGGTATAAGTATTGGAGGACAGCTTATTAACAACCTGTTATATGCAGGTGACACAACCGTGCTTGCTGAACGTGAGGAGGACTTGACGCACTTGCTGAAGAAGATCTACAGCTGCAGCCTTCAATATGGATGACAACTCAACGTACAAAAGATCCAAGTCCTCAGAACGGGACCAATAGGTAATATCATAACCAATGGTGGAAATATTGAAATTGTCAAATATTTTATCTCATTTTGATCCATCACCAATGTTCACAGAAACAGCTTTCAGGCGGGCAAACAACACATTGCCTTGGGTACATCTGCTCCACAAGACCTATGCCAAGTGTTGAAAAGGTAGGAGGTTACTTTGAAGAGTCAAGTTCACCCGACCGAAGCTGTGGTATGTTCAGTTACTTTATATGCTTGTGAACGTCGACCATTGACTGAGGAAGACTGCAGACAAATCATTACATTTTAGTTTTGGTTCTGGCCAAGACTACTGAAAGTATCATGGACTGTCGAAGGGAAGTCCAAAGCTGTCTTAGAAGAGAGAAAACCCGAACACTCCGTGGAAGGAAGGGTGCTGAGGTTCCATTCGTGTATGTTGGATTTATCATCAGGAGAAACCAGGCCCTGGACATGGCATCATACTCGGGGAAGTGCAGGGGCGGAAAGAGAGAAAGGGCTCAAGGAGCTGGGTGGAAATGTTGGCTGCGGCGATGGGCTCAAACACAGGACAATTGCGAGGATGGCCCGGGAGCAGGTAGGGTTTTGTTTGTTTTACATACATAGCATCTAACAACAACAACAACCATTGACTTCAAGCATAATTTGTGCTTCACTCTTCCAATTACATCTCTACCTTAAAAAAAACTCTCTCAAGTGTCTGTCACCATGTCAATAGCATATTTCTGAAACAACTTTTTCAATGGATGTTAGTCTTCATTCATCTTGATTTTGCGTTAGGAATGACCACTTCACATCGACTCAGAAAGCATCTGACTCTTAGGATCGCTGAGAAACTCTTTATCTTCTTCCCACCATCCAGTTAGTGATTTTGTCTCTGCCCAGGTTGTTACAATAGAAAGTGCCCGGGGGGCAGAACTCAGCTTTTGACCTTAGGTGTCCTTGATAGGAGAGTTGAGTGTTAACAACGTCTGTCTCTCTTATATATAGTACCTGTTTTCATGACTGTTTTATCGTTCCTCTTTGACAATTGTAGAGCCAGGTTTTCCTCCGGAGCTCTGGACTGCATTTCCAATTAGTTGTCAACCTCATCTCCTTACCTTGTAATGCTTCTCACTGGAGACGTCACTGAGGCCTCCAGGACCATGAGAATTGGGACCTACAAAGAGACTTTCCTCAAAGTCTGTGATAAACACAAATAGGCCACCCTCTATGATACATCCAACTTCCTTATTGCTATTACGTTGTCTTACTTTTAAAGTAGCTGTATTTAGAACAAATGGTTCTGAGTTAAATATTCAAATTTTATAGAGCACATAAAGAAGAAATGATAGAATACTTGAATTCATATTTATCACTTATATTTTAGTTCTCATTTTCCTACTCTGTAATATAAACTATAATATCCAACATTCCCTGAGTATTTACTAGTATCGGGAATTTTCTAAAACTGTTGCTTGAAGTTACTAACATATCTTTTATAATTGTCTTATAAGGAAAGTCTTGTGATATTCCAAAATGAAATTCAGATAATCTAGGGGAATAGGGTGATTCTATGTGAGTGAGCTCAGAGGAACACCTAAGGAGAGGCTTCTGCCATAAATGCAGATTACATTCCATTTTTTCCCACCTGCGTACTGCTTATCCTACACTGCATTTCAAACTCGTCCAGCCAGTACAACTCAGGAAGCGTACAGGCTCCTTCCTACATTTTCCTCACAGCATGCTTCCTGAAAGAGCATTCACTCTCCCTGGCCCTGGGAATAGCCAGGCATGAATCAGGTAAAAGACCCAAATGTCACGATTAGCAAAATGATTTTTAAGGTATCTTGCCATTGTCTTGTGT